GCTCCTACAGAAAACCCAAAAGCCTCACGTACGGGCGAATCCTATCAATCCTATCAATCTGATCAATCAATCCGGCAATTTTGAGCTTGATTGACTGCTATTTCACGATATGCTGGATTGGCTTGACTTGCAGTACAAATTGTCACAGCTTGATTGATGAGATTGATCTGGATTGATTGTTGACAAGTCTGGGACTGATATTCAGTCTAAATCGCATTGGCCGATGCAGAACCATATCGCCTTGCAAAGTATCATCAGTCGACACGCTGAGCGGTGCTGTTACAAAACCGTAAAAGATTCATTACAGCGGAAATCGTTCAGAATCATAGGGCAATGGCCAGCAAATTTAGAGTTATCTTTGATCGGAACCATAAGTCAGCCTTACATGTATCAAAGTGCTCCACAAGAGATCGATAAATTATGTGGTTTGCTTGATGACAAAAAAGGTTTCTGCGCATACCCTCAAGTCATATCAGTATGAAAACAACGATATCCCTTAGTGATATCTGCGACTTACAGCAGGTAGCTTCGTAACAGGTGGATGTTGGATACCTGCAAAAGTCGGTCCGATGGCGCTTAAAATTACGTAACTGCTTGCACTGAGAATACGCGTAATTCGTATAGATCACGAGCCTAGGAAAGCTTACTCTGTATCTCCGCGGTAGTACGGAGGTTGTCATCCTGCCTTCAAAGACAGGTAGGTAAAGCCTGTAGCTCGTCTGTGCATACACATTAGACCAGTCTTTGTGCACATTTCCAGATCACTCTAACTCTACCGCGTTCGTGTGTACGCTTTGTTGTAGTGCTTACAATAAATACCTGCTGAGCACTCTGGATGTACAATTGAAACATCATGTTAATCACGAGATCTATGATCGCAGTATTATTGATGCATTTCAGTTCATCTGCATAGTTTCTTTACAAACCGGAGCAGTGTAGCTATTACAAATTACCTAAATACAAACCAACTGTGCTCACATTCTTTTATGAAACTCATTGTCTTGCTTTATCTTATGTATACATATACGGGCAATTTTATGTTCTGGAAGCCTTATTGAGTTATCATACGTTGAAACAGAGGTTTTGTTCTACTATTTTTTGCATCGATCTAATTCGTGCATTATGTGCGTGTGCACGAAACTATCCCAATCTAGGTACAAGTACGTCATGCCTGCAATCAACAGACCCACATCATGAGTACGCGTATAGATATCCGATGCCTTTGCTAGATAAGTATTTGAGGACGCTGCGAGTCATACGTACGAGGTTCTGATGCAATAAATTGCAACGTTAAGATGTCATGTCGCTTCCGAAGAAGCGCTAACAACTAAGATAGACATAGTCCTAGAAGAGTATCGATAGCTCTAGAGTGAGTTAAACAATACGGTCCACCATGTCACTCAGATATATATCGTGCTTTGGTATCTTCCTCTTGATTATTGCTCAAGCTTCCTCCACACCAATCTCGCACAGCTGATACATTGAAGTCACGATGCGGTCCCTTTCTCTGTTTCTCGTTGGTCTCGCAAGCGCCGTCAACATTTCTGAAATTCCTCCATTTGTCAGACCAAGCTTCCCTATCAGTACTATTGATAATGATGGTGTATGTTTCCCCACATATCAAGATGGAACAAGAACTCACTATCAGCGAAGACGCATGCGGGTCGCTACGATGTTCGCAGAACGATGGTCTGGCTTGATGAAAAGAACCTGGAGAATTTGAACAGCTACTGCTATTTCTATTGGTTGACTACCACCTGTGGACGGAAATTTCATACGATGCTGGCCCCGAACTTCTTCCGCGGCGAGACAACTGGTATCTTTAGAGTTGAAGATCTCCAGAACTTCTCCTCTACTGGGGCAACTGCCTTCGCGCCTGGAACTGGGAGCACCGAGTTTCTCAATTTTCGATCAGAGATTCAAAACCTCACAAGTCCACGCGGAGGCGACAACTTCACCGATGTGCATATTTCTGCGGACTATGCCGGTGTCAAGATGGATGTTCAAATGACTCCGACGGGCAAGAACTTGTACATTGGGGGCGCTGGTGGCGTAACGATCTCACCCAAGAATGATGGAAACTCCAACCAAAATGACCATCGCACGCTTGTCCCAGGGTATTCTTGGTATTGGGTATGTGCGCACTATGGAGTTGGATAAGAGTGTTCGTCTTGCTAACACGTTCCACCTATAGGGCAATCCTACTCTCAAGCTTGAAGGGACTATCACGGTCGGCGGAGAAAAACTGGTAATTGATTCAGATCAGTCCAGAGGCTATTTCGAGCGCCAGTGGGGCGAGTTCGGCATTGCTGGAGGTCACTACGGATATTGGCTCTACCTTTCCAATGGTATCCTGATCCATGGCTGGGTTGTAGGCCCAACCGTCGAGAAGCCTTTCGGCATTCCTGCCTGGGCGACGATCTGGCACCCCAATGGCATTCACGAGGTCCTTGAAGTGGACAACACGACAAAGGGATTCAATTCGTGGACAAGCGAATACAGCGGGAATAACTATTTCCAAGATGTCGAGTTGAACCTCTCTCAGCGCAACGCATCCTTCAACATCCACCAGGTAATCAAGAACGGCGAACTCGGCCCACTTCCAGGTACCGAAGGATACAACATCAGTGAGGCTTATGCTCAAGGAGACGGCATCTGGGAGAACGAACACATTACCTTCTATGGTCATGTTGAGCAGCTGTCGTACTGGTAGAGACTATACCCGTAATGGTCTGGAGTCCAGTTGGCGGATCCTCAATGATTACCCGATCAAGGTGCAAGCGTGCAGCTCGCAACTGTATCCATACAAACGATATCAAGACCAAAGCCCTAAGCCTTAGCCTAAGATTAATCTAAGCTACTATCAATTGACTTTTAGCGACCTAGCAGTCTATAGCTTTCTTACATATTGGATACGATTCTGGTATCACTGTGCGATAGCTCCCTGAACATAGCTTCCTACAAGAAAAGGCTTATGAAATAGTACTAATGAGTTACTTCTGCAAGTTAGCCATCAACGAAAGAGACAACCAACCTTGAATCGACATATCCACGACTGCCATATCTGCCGCTCAGCCACCTGGTGATACAAATCACTACCACACAAACTCTCAGGCAGCCGGCTCTCAACCCTAATATGCCCACGCTGAGTTTCCTTCATATACGACTGCCCTTTCAGACCACAACTCATCCCCGACAGGCTTTTGATATAGTGCTAGGGAAGAAAGTCTACAGGCTAGCGTCTGGTGGAAGAGGCAGCCAACCTTGAGTCATTATATTCACTAAGGCAGTATTTGATGCCCGGCTACCTGATGGTCTTGCTCACTACTACCAAAGCTCTTGATCTAGCCACTGCTCATCCAGCTGCTCTGATATAGCCACCTCCCAATCGTCCTGTGTCCATGCTGAGATTCCATAAAGCACCGTCCATGGGTTAAATTTGACACAGTGTGTGAAAACCTCCATGTTGTTGCCGATAGCGACCTTCTGTTCCTCTGTCCTCGAATCAACCAACTGTTTTATGCGAAATGAACAATAGTCGTCTGAGCGATCCGGGATCTGAGCTGCGAAGTGGAAGATGCCTAATTTGTAGGGTAGCAATCGAGTTTCCGAGTGAAGTTGGCGACAGACAGCTATGAGACCCAGGTTGCATTCGTTAAACGATGGATAGGTCTTGGCAGGGCCGCGGTGTAGATGTAAGTTATAGATGTTCTCTCCGAAAACATAGTCGTAGATAGCGATCCTGAGTTCGGCTGGAAGGCGCAAGAGGGGAGAAGGTATGAGACTGCTGCTGCAAAGCACGTCAGTCGCGCACTCTAAGATCAGGAATTAGGGCGCTTACTTGTGGTTGCGAGGTTCCTGAATATGGGGAGATTGAGCTTGACTACGCATGGTAGATCTCTGCTCTGACTTATTGTCACGCTTTTTGGATTGAGACTTCACGTCCGATATCCTGGCAGAAATAGCGTCGGCGGGAAGCATGCTCCGCGCCTCTTGACTGGAATCGTGGGGTGTATGATGACTGTCGTAAGCGGGGTGGTTTTGCAAGGAGAAAAGGTTATGAGACTCAGAGGTAAGCCCTCGATGGGGTTTTAAGGCTTCCGGAAAAAGTGGAGGTGAACCAAAGATCCGGATTATTAACTTGGTCATCGCTTCCATGCGCTGCTTCGTTCGCTACCACAAGATCTGCTCCACAAAAGATCGTTCTAGACGAGCAACGCCAAAAGTGTTGAGTTTGTATTGAAGAAGTGCTGTGTCGACATGGACCTAACGAGAAATGGAGAGCAGATTCGGAGGACCATGATCAAAAAAGATTAGGGAGGGAATCCTGTCGCGACTATTTCTGATGCATGCGTAGCTGATTTCGTAGTCTTTAGCGAGAAGACAAGTCCATATCACGTTTCCAATCTCGGCCGGCGGGCAGAGTATGGTGCAATTTCTTGCGTTTAAATCGGAGACATGGAAACTTTCAGATCACGACTCTGTTGTATGAGAAACTAAATTACTTACACTTGGTCACGATGGGATTGATTATGCATAACGCGGTGGCCAGCGGCCTTGAAAGTAGGAATATAAGCCTTATCCCTATTCGCTATCTGGACTCTATCATCCCACTTCTTCTTATCAGTGAGTTGCCTGTTGCCAGCATACAGTGGTGTGTGGCTCCGGGAGGCCATGATGGACGGGATGAAGTTTTTCAAAGGCGGGATGGATGTTGACATCCGAATGTATACGCAAAGTGCGAGAGCGGCAATGAGGGTCGATCTCAAGTGAACACAGCTGAGTCTGTAACGATGGAGCAATCGTTTCGGCTCTGTGGATACAAGCACGTCCTGGATTCTGGCAGATGGCGATAGCAGAGTGCTAACAAGTAAGCTGCCCACGAGCACCGCTCTACCAAGATTGCCTCAGTAACGAAAGCACGTACTTCTGGGACCCGTTTCACTATCACGCTCACTGCTCACTGGCAGGAATGCCCGGCAAAAACGATTGACCAACAGCTAGGCAGGAGAAATCTCGCAATTCAACTCTGTAACCCAGTACATACCGGTCCCTGACTCCAACTCTCCAATGTTCGGAACATGATCATTGAGAATATAAATCTCCAACTTGGCAAGAGCTTCGACCTGTTTCCTTGTTCTTTTCTCTAGGAACACTCTTATAGCCGAAAACATATTGTCTTCATCATCCTCGAGCTCTTCTGTGGGCAAAGTATCGAAATTGAATGTTGCAAGCTTGTACGGGAGTAAAGCGGTCTCCTGGTGAATCTGGCGAGAGACATGGAGCAGGCTTAGAAAGTTGTGTTCGCAGTAGGTGGAAGAGGGATAGCGATCATAATCGCTGAACTGACGCGGCCTTAAGCTGACATGGTAGTTGAGAAACCATGGGTACTTGTTGATTTGAACGACCTCGTCGAAAACATAGGTATATATCATGGTTTTGATCTCTGCTGGAAGACGTAAAAGTGGTGACTGAACGGCATTGATTTCGGTGCTAAAAGACGTTGTAAGTCAGAGCGCTAATGTGTGGGACTCAAGGGACTTGCATCTTGTTCAGACGAGCACGTTCATGTAAAAGCAGCTTCTGAGTATTGAACCGCGGGGTCACGATCTGACACGTCTCCTTTTCCTCAGCGGAAGAACTGCTACTCAAGGGTGGCGCAGCCTGCTTGCGAGCGACCATGTCGTCTTGCGCTTGAGGTGCTTAGATTAGGGCAGCAAGAAAGTGCAGAAGAGGCGCTGTGGAAAAGGTGCGTTATAGATCATGGGTAATTGAGGAAACTGCGAGTTCTGAAGCAGGCTAACCGCATTAAGGACATGGCTTAGTACATAGCCACCTCGACCCCCGCTTTCGGCCACCCCTGCAGAATCCTTCCATTAAGACCAGAAGGTGTACAATCGCGACTTTGAAACCAACGATGTCATGCAACCGTTATGTGCACAGCCAAGTCGGAAGGTTTCAGACCCAGATGAGCGAACCAGTACAGACCGGTTCCACTCTTCTTCTCATACTGATACTCGTGTTCAAAGATGTTATTGAACCCGTCAAACTTAACAACATACTCCATGTTCTGCAGGCTTGAGACCTGCGCCCACGATCTGTTCAACAAGAAAATTTCCAGAACGTCGAGTGGTTTGCCCCAAGGATAACGAAAATAGCCAAACTTGAAAGTGGTGAGCTGATATGGTAACAGGGCGGTTTCTCGATACAATTGGCGAGAGACACGAAGTAGGCTTAAGTATTGTTTGACGTGTTCCGTTGTCTTGATGACGTCGTACTCCCCTTCCACAAGAGCAAACCCTGTACCTTTGAGTGCGAGGACTTGATCGCGGAAGACGCTGTCGTAGATCATGTTCCTAATCTCAGGCGGGAGACGAAGGAGTGGGGAGTTTGCAGCGTTGAGCTCGGAGCTATCATAAGTCAGTTGTTGCTAAGCGAGAAAACGGAAGGAACTAGGAAGTCTTACATCTTGTCGCGCGCAGCAATCTCACTTCGAGACTGCTCCAGATGCTGATCAGCCGCGTTGCCCATAGAGGAGGAAGACATCGATGGCGAAGTGGTCGCAAGGATTCAAGGAAGGGTGACGGTGGTGGAAAGCGTGTTGGTGGAAGAGATCTAGTCGGAGAGAAGATTGAAGTGCCTGAAGAGACCCTGCCAAGGTCGGATATCCACGGACGTTCCTTCCTTCCTGAAGAGGTGGTCAAGGTGAATGAGACCACTCAAAGAGACTTACGGCATCAACGACACGTCACAGGAAATCCCTGCCTTCACCTTCATCTTCGACCCTAATGTGGTATGCAAGTGAAGCAATTAGGATACAGATATCAAGCTATAGCAGTGTTCATGAGTCCAAGACTACTCTGGTAGAGCATACAGCTATCATTTTGATTGTCTTGACGCAACAACGCATCTGGTAGCTAAGGACATGAATCAACTCCTCGATCTACGGCTAATGAGGATCCATCCGCACCCTCGTTCTTTTGCCCAATATGCTCCACTTCCCATTATCATCTCATGCTTCCTCTTCACCTTATTGTAAGCCTGGAATCCCACTCTACTCAACACTTTGATCTGTTCCAGTGATCTCTTCTTCAAAAAGCTTCTTAGCATCTCACATTGCTGTTGATAGTGTACGTTCTTTATAAGCCGACCATATTTATCAAACGTGTCTTCATGACAGATGTCGAAGTAGAACGTCGCTAGTTTGTATGGAAGCAGAGCGGTTTCTTGTTTCAACTGACGAGATGCAAGAGGCAAACCGAGAGCTCGGTCAAGACTTTCAGTCATTTTAACTTCACGATTGAACTGCCATTCAAATTCATCAACCTCATCAACGAAGAAATTCTGTCCACAATATACGTAGCCGTATATGATATTTCTGAGTTCTGGAAGAAGACGAAGGAGGGGTGATTGCAAGGCGTTAAGTTCGGTACTAAATTATTGTCAGCTTATTGTTTGATAACAGACTCAAAAGTCGCACATCTTGCTGAGCTGAATTCTCACACTTTGTAGCTTTTCTTCAGCGGCTTCCATCACTAATTCCTAAAGCGATGGATCAATTCAAGATAAGGTATCTTCGACAGAGGGTAGTTGACGCGATAGAACAGCCTTTGTAGGAAGAGACAAAACGATGAAGGCGCCGGGCGGAGCAGTAGAAGAGGATGTTGATTTGGTTATATACACAAGAGAAATATGTTGGATATTGTTTGCCAATGCGAACGTGACGCGCAATGTATGCCGAGTGCTCTGGTCATCTGATGACCTCATCTGCCACTTCCGGTCGCCCTCTGGGGACGATGCCTCGAGGAATCTAACATTACGAGGACGACTCTCGTTGCAACGATCTGCTAGGCATCGCTAGCAAACTATCCTTTGGTGTGTAGCTAAGAGAGAAACTGCACCACAAGACCCAGTCGTTCGGCCCAGTACATTCCATTTCCAGTTATTTTCGAATCCTCGAAGCAATAATTAAAAGTCAATGTTTGAAGCGCTTCGACCTCTGACTTTGATCTCTTTGATAGGAATATCCTTACAGAGAGAAAGATGAGAGGATCGTCGAGTGAATGATAAGGCCACTGGTCGAAGCTGAATGTCCCGAGCTTGTAAGGAAGCAACCTCGTTTCATGGTAGAGCTGACGACAAACGAGCGGCAGGTTTGGATGTCGATACTCGGTTTGGTCAGGTTTGACGACGACGGGGGAACCTCCGGGCCGGATCTTGGGCCAAAGGCGGTAGCGTTTGTTGCCGAAAACGTAAGCGTAGATACCGTTCCTGATTTCGGGGGGAAGACGCAGAAGTCGAGACTCGATGGCGGTACGCTTGGTGCTAAAGCAGGACTGTTAGCAATGGAGCAGTTAAGCCAGATAATAGAAAACTCACATTTCCTCCCGCTGAGCGCGGTCGCGCAGACGCTGCTTGCTAGTTGCATCTTTGCGACGGGCCTGGTGAAGCATCCTGTATCTGGAAGATGTGTGAAGTATTGATGGAGAAGTAGTAGACTCCAAAGCGTGGGCGATCCTGGAAGAAAAGGAAGTGAGTAGGTGATAGAACAGAAGAGGAGGGTGGGTGAAGAGCGAACGAGTAAGAGAGACTTTGCCAAGATTATGGTCCTTGCTGCCAGTAGCTCAAGGTGAATGTGAGTGTTGGAACCTATGACCATGTATTTGAATTTCTATAGCATCCAGGAGCGCGCCATAGTTCTTCTGATCTCAGATATAAAGGCCAAGTACAGCTAGCAGTCATATCAATACCACACTCGCTGTCTGTCGACCGGAAGGCCATGACGGCTATGTGAGCTGTAATCTTGCGGCCCAGTACGCCCCAGTTCCCATCACCCCCATAACCATGTAACGGCTATCGTAGCATTCTACTCGAGCCATGACTTCAATCTGTGCCTTTGACCGTTCCCGGAGAAATCCCTTTAAAGGAAATAATACTGAACGGTCGTGCCAATCATCGGCTAGCCTGAAGACTCCGAGCTTGTACGGCAATAATGCTGTTTCGTGATACAAATGGCGAGAGACGAGAAAGAGGCCTAGGTCGCGGCGAAGGCTAGGGCGCTCCTCCAAACCGCAACAGGTACCGATGAAGTAACGCTCGTCCTGGAACACGTGGTAGAAGACTATGTTTCGGATCTCAGCAGGAAGGCGAAGGAGCGGAGAGCTGGTGGCGTCTTGTTCAGTGCTGTTATCATCGTTAGCTGCAGATACATCGACTACAAGCTGAAAGTCTTACATCTGGTGAAATGCTGCGGGCGACTGAGCTTGATCGCCGAGCTTTTGCCTCTCAGACGCACCAGGTCCTGGCGACGCGTTGTTCTCAGAGACACTTTTACTCATGATGAAGGAGTGTGTGAGTGACAGAAAGAGTGGAAGAGCTAGATGAACGTAGACGAATGTAAGAGACTTTTCGAGCGACGCCAAGACAACAACAATAACAATCGAGACGCGCCTTCCTTGCTGGGTTGACCAAGGCAGGTAACGAGTCAGAGATGTCAACTCGCGCCACCAGAGAACGATCGGATTTCCATGCTGCTGATGCCTCTCGATTCCCACTAAACGTGAATGAACGACAAGCCACCCACGCCTACAGCTTCACCAGTGTCACCATGGTTGAGAAGACCTCTTATACATGTGAACGGAATGAAGACCACGGCACGAAGATACTTGAAACTACAATTTATATTTTGACCATATGATGAGACGCATACACACCATTTAGGAAAAGTACTCCCTCAACACCTGTCACTCATCGCAACACCAGCATGTAAACGCAAACGTACTTGATCATGTATTCGCAAACGTGCTTAGCAGCCATAACGAGGTATCATACAAATTGAAGAACCAGAAAATGAGAGAGAAAGCAAAAAGAAGGAAACACAAAATCCACCAACACAGAAACTAAAACAGGAAAGAAAATCGACAAAACATATATACCAAACACCACCCCAACCCCGTCCTCCAACCGATCTCATGTCCCCATTCTCCACACACACAACTTCATTTCTCCTCCCATCACTTTTTTTACTGAATCCTCTCATCTCTCTCAGTCGCGCCATAGCCCGCCGGCTTCCTAGCACGACCAGTGACATCACTCCACGCAGCACCAAACCTCCGTCCCGTGCTAGCCAAGAGCCCCTCTTCCTCCTCCTCCTCCAAATCACGGTCGATCTGTTCCTGATCCAGACTGGGAGCCTTGAACAGCGTAGTCAAGAAGACGACCAGGTAAACGCCCAAGAAGGCGAACTGAGCCCAGAAGAGGACGACGCCGAAAAAGGGGAAATTGATGGTGACGCGGTTGATGAAAGTTGATAGAACGGAGGGCGTGCAGACTTGCTGGGCAGCGGGATTGGTGGCGAGTTCGCTACACGACTTGATGAGGTCCTTGTGTTCTGTGCAATCAGGTTGTTCGTCGAGGCTGTTGGTCTTCATGTCGCAGTACGTCTGCGGGCCCCAGGTAGCATATTGAGGAGCAACGACCATGGCGACGGAGTAGTTGATGGCGAGGGTAATGAGTGTCAGCAAGACGGTAGCCATGAGGAGTGCCTGAGGCGAAGTGTGTCCCTTGCGGATCTTGAAGATGGTAATCCACAGGAAGCGGATACCGGCAGTCGCGATCCCGACGACAGAGGCGGAGAAGAAGAAGAGGACGAGCAGAAGGAACAGAATGTAGTCGATGGGGAAGACCTTGGCGGACTTGACGAGGATGTAGTTTAGCGGCTGGAAGATGTTGATGTGGCCGAGGATGTAGCCGCAGTGGGCGCCGCAAATGGAGTTTTTCGCCTTGTCAATACCGGTGATGAGCATGGAGGCGAAGATTACAAGGGCAAAGACCATTAGGATGAGTCCACCAACGAGCTTGAGAGGACGGAAAAAGGCTTCCGTCTTTATCCACGCTTTGACGATCCAATGGCGGTCTTGGCCGGAGGATTCAGCAGCAAGACGCTCGCGACGGATGAGGGTACGCTCTTCGCGGACGAGAGCTTCGAGTTCGCGGCGGTCACGGCTGTCGAGGCCGTTTTCGCTCCCTTCGTTGCGGCCCTCGAGCTGGCGTTGGCGCTCGCGGTTGCTCTCTAGCTGGGATGCGGTGTTGGCGGCGAGGGTAGGGGCCGAGACGGAGGGCGCGGATTTGATCATGGCGACGGGGAGGAGAGCCATGCCGGCGCCGGTGTAGAGGACGAAGAGAATGGTGCCGACGGTTATGAGGAAGCCGAGGCCAAAGGATAGGGCGCGTTCGCCATCTAGACAAGTTAGTGTATACGAGGGATGGCATGAAAGAATTGCCGCTTACGGTTCTCGGATAGCAGGTGCTTGAAGTAGTCGAGATCGAGGCGCTTGTCATCTTTGGCTTGCTTCGCAAAGGGAACGAAGAAGCCAACGAGGAAGATGGCGACGACGAAGATGAGGAAGCCAAGAGTCCATTTCAGCGCTCCTCCAATGCGCTGGCCAGCCGTCTGCTCGCCATGCTCGGCGGCATCCTCATCGTACTCCTCGTACCAGAAGTAGGTAAACGGGATGACCAGAAGACAGAGAATCGCGTCGAGCGAGTAGAGCGTGTAGTAAACGATGCGCAGCGTGTAGACGATGCTATCGACCTTTTCAGGCGTCGCCCAATCTTTTTTGCGGCCTAGACTGGATTTGGACGTAGATGAGACGAGGGCGACATCGACGGGAATGAGCAGAACTGTCGCGAGCAGGGCGAGGGTGGTGAAGATGCAGACGATGGTGACGGCAGCGGCGCGGTCGCGCGGCTTCTGGTAGACGTAGACGAATGTGGACGCGATGAGGAAGAGGATTGCCACGGCCACAGCGTAGGCGACCCAGATGAGCGAGGTCTGTATCAGCGCCATGGTGACAGCGTGCTATCACTTGAGCTGAGCTGTGGTTGAGATGAGGGGATTCCAGGTTGCGACCGACATGTTTGGGCATGACGTCTAGCGGCCTGGAACCTTGGTCGATCATGGCCCATGTAGTTAGCGCTGCCCACATCCCTGTCAAAGCTGCTGGAGCTCTCTACGCGCTAGACGGAATCGCGCAAGAGCTCTTTGACGCGACATGCGTAGGGGTTTCCGCCTTAGGCAAGGTTATTCCGAGGATATTTTTTATGGACGATTTGTTACTCTTGTACATTCTTAAGATGAGGGATTCGCAGACAATGACTGTAGCATATACAATTTGGTGGAGCACGATCTGCAAACATCAATAGCCGTGTATATAAGCGGAACACTTTCTAAACTACTTTGATGTGGTATGTAACTACTGCTGAGTAGATTCCCTCGGTTTGCAGAGCGAACAAGTGCAAACAGAAGAGTCATCACCATGACTTCCAGGCTCGGTCCCGCGCTTCTGACCAGGGGTGATTAGTCTCGTTTTCCGTTGGCCCATGTGCAGCGTAAAACATAGCTATGCCCACAAATGTCTCTCCCTCATAAGTAGCGTCGCTCTCCTGGAACGGCATAGAAGAAACCTCTACCGGATGTACGCGATGAAATTCATCATTTCCCTCCGTTACGCGAGCATATTCTTCCTCGGAAATTCGATCGAATTTAATGCGGCGTGCTGGACTCTTGTCTGTGGACCAATCTGCGCCTGAAGAACGGAAGACAGTCCCGTGATGATAGTCACCAAGGTGATAATCGATATAGCTAGGCACTAGACCAGGTAGTTGTCTGGCTCGGTCGTTGCCATACTGCTGCTCTTCAGTATCATCATCCGAGGCCGAGTCCTTCATATCTTGTATTTGACGTGTATAATCTTCCTGTGCGGTCTCCTCGACATGTTGGATTTGACGTGTATAATCTCCCCGGGCGGCCTTCTCTTTGCGATAATGAGCAATACACTCATCGTCAACACTGCTATCCACGTTGGACGCAGGAAGAAAGTAGAGTTCCAGACGGATCGGACACCCTGTGTTGTCGTACGGCGTTCTGCGCTTAATAGCTTTGAAAAGCTCAACCGGCTTCACAGTCTCCAGGGTCATTTGTGTGAAGTAGATGGCGAAACTGAAAAGCGGCGGGAGCGGGCAGGACACCCAGCCATCGAAAACCATGAGTGCTTCGCGCCCAGAGTGATCTGTGAATGGGATAACATGTGTTTTTATTCGATGAATACGATCACTGAGCGCCGTGCCCCCTCTTGGGTATCGATTTCTATGGTAGACACGCGATGGCATGTTCAAATGGATCAGTGTGAGTCGATGGATGTTATTAAGGAAAGTATATTCTCTTCTATAAGTATTGTTGCTGATTGCGTCGCAAGTTGAGCGCTTTTCGCGAGCTGACGTATCGCGATACTTGTTGGGCTCTTTGGCTGTCGGCGCAGTCGCTCTCCGAGATAGCGTACTTGCTGTTGAGCCTCTGCTACTGTACGTGGTGTCTCTGTCTGCGGTGCTGTCTGCGTTGCAACGTTGTCATAGTCATCTGTGGTGGAGACGGTGTTGTAGCTAACGATAGGACGCTATCTGGACCGTGCACTTTACAGTAGCGCGTAGAGAGCTCTTTGACGCGACGTGCAGCCATCAATTGTACCCACCACGTACTCACGACATACTCACCATACTCACCACCGCTGCACCCACACCACTGCCATGACAAGTGTCGCCGGCACCTTCATCCCCCACCCCCATCATGCAGTGCTACACTGAAATAGCCCCGCCCACGGCCGTGAGCCATGCTATCAACCTCCCCTTCCTGCACTCTAGATCAAACAACCTAGTCGTCGCAAAGAACTCGCTCCTCCAGATCTTCGAACTGAAATCCACCACCACCGAGGTCACGCCGGGCGGAGGGAACGAGTCGGAAAATGCAGCCGCAAACCTCGACACAGAGGCGGCTGATGTGCCATTGCAGCGCACCGAGAACACGGCCAAGCTGGTTCTCGTTGGGGAATTCCCGCTAGCCGGCACAGTCATATCGTTAGCACGCGTAAAAGCGCTCAATACAAAGAGCAAGGGCGAGGCGCTGCTGGTGGCCTTTCGGGATGCAAAGCTCAGTTTGGTAGAGTGGGACCCGGAGAGCTACAACCTCCATACAATATCAATACACTACTATGAGAACCCAGACTTGCCCGGCATTGCACCTTGGTCCGCTGATCTCAAAGACACGTACAACTTCTTGACGGCAGACCCCAGCAGCAGATGCGCCGCCCTCAAGTTTGGCACCCACAACCTCGCCATCTTGCCCTTTCGCCAGCGTGATCTTGTCGAAGATGACTATGATTCCGATGCCGACGCTCCCAAGGAGACGGCCCTGAAAGCGGAGCACAAGACGCCCTATTCCTCGTCTTTTGTCCTCCCGCTCACCAACCTCGACCCCACCCTCACACACCCCGTTCACCTCGCCTTCCTGCACGAGTACCGCGAACCCACCTTTGGCATCGTCGCCGCCTCGCGCCAGACCGCCCCTTCCTTGCTCGCTCACCGCAAAGACATTCTGACCTACTCCGTCTTTACCCTCGACCTCGAACAAAAGGCGTCCACGACCCTTCTCTCAGTCTCTGGACTGCCTTATGACATCACAAAAGTAGTCCCCCTACCGTCTCCCATCGGGGGCGCTCTGTTGGTGGGAGCCAACGAGATTATACATGTTGACCAGGGAGGAAAGACAAATGGCGTAGCTGTCAACGAGTTCGCCAAGGCCTGCACTTCGTTTCCCCTCAGCGACCAATCTGATCTGGCGTTGCGGCTGGAAGCATGTCAGGTTGAGCTGTTGTCCCAGGATACTGGTGATGTGATGATTGTGCTCAACAATGGGCGCATCCTGATCCTTACGTTTACGCTCGACGGCCGAACAGTCTCAGGAATGACCATACAAACCGTATCCTCAGACCACGGCGGCCATGTTCTCAAGACTTCTGCATCGTGCACAGCCAATCTGGGCCGCGGCCGATTGTTTGTCGGAAGCGAAGACGGGGAATCAGTAATGTTGGGCTGGACTGGCACGTCCAGCCAACTCCGCCGTAAGCAACCGACTGCTGACGCCGACTCCGACCAAGACATGTCTGATGACGAGGACGGCGATGACGATATGGAAGATGACCTCTACAACGATACTGCACCCGCAGTCCAGAAAATCACGGCCGCTGTGTCCGAACCAACGGCGCCAGGCTCGTACACCTTCCGTGTCCACGACGTCTTACCCAGTATAGCGCCCATCAAAGCCGCTGTTCTGCACCCTGGCAAAGACACCGAGTCCCTGAACAAGGGTGAAATCATGCTTTCAACTGGGAGGGGCAAGGCTGGTGCCATTACAGCGCTGAACCGCGAGCTTCATCCTGTCAGTGTTGCCACCATGGAGCTTCCATCTGCGCATGGTGTATGGGCTGTACATGCGAGAAAGGCAGCTCCCGGTGATGTCACGGCGGCGTTTGGCGAGGATGCCGAAGCGAACCTGGCGAGTGATGTAGATTATGATCAGTATCTTGTCGTTAGCAGGACCGGCGACGACGGTACTGAAAGCACAGTTATCTACGAAGTGAATGGCAATGAACTGTCAGAAACCGATAAAGGTGATTTCGAAAGGGAGGAAGGAAGCACCATGGACGTAGGGGTTCTGGCCAAGGGAACCAAGGTCGTCCAAGTCATGCGCACAGAGGTCCGAACCTACGATTCCGAACTCAACATGGATCAGATTCTTCCCATGGAAGACGAAGAAAGTGGGAACGAACTCGCCGTCATCGACGCCAGTTTCGCCGATCCATACCTACTGATCCTCCGCGAAGACTCTAGCGTCAAGATATTCAAGGCTACAGGTGATGGCGAGCTGGAAGATGTCGAAGCAACAGGGTTGTCCGGGATTCAATGGCTGTCTGCCAGTCTGTTCAAATCCTCAAGCTTCACCGAAGTCTTTGCCTTCCTGCTAACACCAGAAGGCGGACTGCGCATATTCGCCATGTCAGACCTGTCCAAACCGTGCTACGTTGCCGAAGCCCTGAGTTTCCTTCCACCAGTGCTGGCCCTGGACTACGTACCCAAGCGCAGCGCAATTAAAGCGACCATCACCGAGATCCTAGCCGCTGACCTGGGCGATGCGACGAGCAAGTCTCCCCACCTCATCATCAGGACATCAAACGACAACCTCGTCATCTACAAAGCGTTCCACTCTCCGTCGCGATCGCCAACAGATCTCTGGACCACAAACCTCCGCTGGGTTAAGCTAAGTCAACAACACGTCCCACGATATATCGAAGACACCAGCTCCGAAGAAGACGGAGGTTTCAAAAGCACACTATCAGCCATCACCGACATTACCGGGTACAGCACCGTGTTCCAGCGCGGCACAACGCCTGCATTCATCTTCAAGGAGTCCTCCAGCGCACCGCGTGTCATCGGTCTCAGCGGTAAGCCCGTCAAAAGTCTCACATCCTTTCACACAGCGAATTGCGCTCGTGGATTTGCATACCTAGATTCTACAGACACGCTCCGCATCGCGCAACTTCCATCCGACACCCACTACGGACACCTTGGATGGACAACCCGACGCATGCCCATGGACGCAGACGTCCATGCCCTCGCCTACCATCCTTCTGGTCTCTACGTTGTCGGCACCGGCCAACATGAAGAATACCAGCTCGACCCCAGCGAAACCTACCACTACGACCTCCCCAAGGAAGACATGTCGTTCAAACCCACCATCGAACGCGGCGTGCTCAAGCTTCTCGACGAGAAATCCTGGACAATAATCGACACGCACGTGCTCGATCCTCAGGAAGTCGTCTTGTGTATCAACACGATCGATCTCGAGGTCAGCGAACAGAGTCATCAGAGGAAAGACTTGGTCGCAGTCGGTACGTCGATCGTGCACGGCGAAGATCTGGCGACCAAGGGGTGCATTCGCATTTTCGAAGTCATCAC